TGAATTTTCTCTTTCATTTTCCATACTACTTTTCATGTGGTTAAAAAAAAAATCATCTGATTGTTTAAGCATTTAGTTAAACTGTGACTTTCTAAAGCAGTAACTTATATGTAGGATCATACAGCAACTTGTAGGAGAGGTCACACTAAGGGGCCTAAATAGGTGACCTAATGCACCCCCTTGGACCACTCAGACTTCTAGCAACTCCTAAATTGGCAAATTACCATTGAGTTATTCTGTTTCATTAAAATAACAACAAACTAACAAACAAACAAGACAATGAACAAGATGAAGTTTGTGGTCAACAGGATGCGACTGCTGTCTCAAGCTGATATTTGTAACTAGCTAAGCATGGCTGCTGTGCAACCTGTGGGTGAACAGGACAGAGGTACCACAGATGAGTGGAGCTGGACAGCCCCGGGTAGTGTGCAAAGGAAAGTGATGCTGAACATTGGCTTGAAATTTTGGTGAGGACTAACCAATATCTCAGACTCTGAATCCAGAAAACCCCTTCAAACTGGAATTAAAATCATTGCTAAAAGCACAAACTAAATTTTACCATTCTCAAACTGCAGTACAGGAAACATGCTTGACTCAGAAGAAATCTCTACACAGACAGGGAATTCCTTTTCTGTTACAGCTACAAGAAACATCTCCTTTCCCTTCCCTTCCCTTCCCTTCCCTTCCCTTCCCTTCCCTTCCCTTCCCTTCCCTTCCCTTCCCTTCCCTTCCCTTCCCTTCCCTTCCCTTCCCTTCCCTTCCCTTCCCTTCCCTTCCCTTCCCTTCCCTTCCCTTCCCTTCCCTTCCCTTCCCTTCCCTTCCCTTCCCTTCCCTTCCCTTCCCTTCCCTTCCCTTCCTTTCCCTTCCCTTCCCTTCCCTTCCCTTCCCTTCCCTTCCCTTCCCTTCCCTTTCCTTGAAGAGAGTTCAAGGCACAATTCTGTTTCTCCTGGTGGAATTTGTATTTCTTTGTTATGAACATGCAGAATTTGTGTAAAGTGACAATTCTTCTTTTCCATGAGATTCCCTTCCTCCAGACCAGACCGTTAAGTTTTCCTCTATCCTCTTGTGATCACAGTAAGAGCAGGTCATAGTTCACAGAGTAAGCTTTTTTTTTTTTTTTTTTTTTTTTCCTAGATTGTAAGATTATGATGGGACTGACAAAATCCATGAAGCTCAGTAGCTTTTCTTTAACCTTGGCCAGCTGAAATTGGCTGAGCAAAGAGCAGAAGAAAACAGGCAAACTCAGGAGAGAATTCCTTGGGTAAAATAATGTAACTACAGCAATCAATAGTTCAGAGAATTTTTGAGCCAGAGTTTGCATCTGTTTTTGATGTTAATCAATGAACCACATCTTTGTAAAATTCTGCATTCCTATTTTGAATCCATTTATATCTCTTGACTTCCACGACATCCTGTGGCAATGAGTTAATTATGCTTGGGTGAAAATATTGCTTTTTTTCCAGCCACTGTGTCTCGTAATCTCATTCAATATTCCCTCTTGTACAGTAGGAAATGATGAATAAATGGTGCTCATTCACCTTCCTCATATCATTTACTATGATGAACTTGCTATATCAGTCATCTCTTTTACAAATTGAAGAACCATTGGTGTATGGTTTTTTTTATTCCATAATCCTCATCCTTTTTATCAAGATTTTGTCTTCATTTTTTCCACCTCCAGTGTATCTTCTGGAGATGGGGTGAGCAGAACTGTGACAGCTCCAGAAATAATCCTTGAGAATCTAATGCACCATAATGTCAAATCACATCTACCGCAAATTTCCTCATATGCCAAGCTTTCTACCTAGACTCCATTTTCTGAAATGGACTAGAGAAGAAACATTTAAGACCACACTTTCTGTTTCTCTGTTTCTAAAGAACAGCACTTTCAGGACTATGTCTGAGTTTTTTGTTTTTTGTTTTTTGTTTAGTTGTTTTTATTTGGGAGACTGACTCATAATTTTGGGGGCTAGCAATAATTCACATATGTCCTTCCCAGAACTGTCTTATGTTTCTGGCTCATCTCTCTTTCTCACACTTAGGACAACACTTTATCCAAGTGAACTCAATTATAATATATCTCATTTTTGGTGTTATGCTGCATTAGTCTTTAAAGAAAGCTCTCACTATTTACAATTTCATAGCATGTTTATGTTTTTGATCTGAGCTGACATAATCCATTCAAAGATAAATACATCAATTAATTAAGCAGTTGTTGAGATCAGAAATCTGACACCCATATGGTGTCAAATTAGTGTCTGAAAGCAGTTAACTACTAAAAGAAGCACATGCATCTGTTGCAAGAGATTAAAATGAAGCATCTATTAATTACTGTGAATTTCTTGATTGACTTTAAAATTATACTGCTGAACTGATTCTCTTTGTGTTTTTCATCTTTAATGTCATCACTTGTAAATAAAGACTTGCTTCAAAAATATCGAGTTCCAAGCAAATAATAAGCAGCCTCTAAAAAGCAGGGAAAGGAAACTCAGCAGCAAAGAGATGGCACAAAACATGTTGCTATGTGTTTTTCCTCTCCTAGGAACTACATAGAACCAGATGTATGCAGGATAGAAATGTTCCCTGGTACAACAATGAGTAATAAAGACTATCTCACAATCATAGGATGCATGACACAATAATGAATTGTATATTACATGCTTGAAAAATACAATAAAAATTGTCAATTTCTTTCCAGTGGAAGTTCAATGGCAGAATTGAGATATAACAAAAATTCCACTTCAGGTCTTTCATGCTATTTTCCTGTTTTCATGCACTCATGAGTAAGAAAAAGTGCAGATGTTGGAAGTACACATGCTGTCTCTCTCTGTATTCAAGGGAATAATTGTTTTAAAATACACAGTTATCCGGTTATCAATGGCTTATTTTTAACATCCTGAAGTCAAAACTACATTTGCTTTGATTACATTGGATCTCAAATCAGATGCATCTTAGTCAGGCTTCTTGATGCAGAAGAAAATATTCCTACTATCTCAGATGGTGACATGCTTTCTTCTGAATCAATGACTGATTATTTTTATGAGCATACATTTTCTGTTTCTTTAAACACATAACAGGAAACCAGGCAGGATGGAGATGGTGAAAGAGTCTACAGCAGTAGCTCCAAGCAGGGAGAAAGAGCACGTGCTTTTTAAGGAAAACATTCTGTATTTTAATAAATATCCTTGTACTTGTTTTCAGAATTAAAAAAAAAAAAAAAAAAAAAAAAAAAAAAAGGATTGAGGGACTGTTTCAGTGACTGTTTTCTCCTTATATTCCGTGGGGAATGCTATGCTACTTATGCATTCAGGTGGCAGAAAGGAAGCACTGATCATCAAAGCTCTCATCTCAAACCCGTCACCTACCTGGTGATCCCAGTTACCTCTGTTTTTGTGTATCTGCATGCCAAAACATTTAGAGATTTATGGTGTAAGAAATGCCTTCATTCCACCTGGACAAATACTGGGAATCAATGCCAATGACCCCCAGCTCTGGTGCAGTGTGCTCCTGAGGTGGAACTCTGCACTGAAGTGACCAGACCTACACAAACTTTGGTATTAGAGGTCTCTGTGCATGTCCATGGGGTGTTCCCAGCTCTAATCCTGCCCCAGGGACTGGAGATGCAGAAGGTCAGGCAGCCACAGCTTGGCCATGGCCTCAGAAACCCATTGCTGTTATGGCTGGGGAGCACATTCTGGTTTTGGAGAGATAATAGAAGAGCGTTGCACACTTTTGAAAGTAAAGGCCTTCTCTTACCTACCTAAGACTTAGTCTAATCTTCTATCTGCTGTAGGAAACATGCAAGAAAATCTTATCTGCAGGTTATCAGCAAAATGGCCACTTTAGGAAATTTATTCCCTCCTCGCTCATTCTTGGAGTGATCTGCACATGCTGTATAAGAAAGCTAAGAAACAACTGTCTGAAGTGCCTTTTCTCCATGGCAAGATTGCAGTTTTCCGGTCATTTCCTTACAGAAAACAGGAACTAAGCTGCTTAATGCCAACCAACTTCTCCAGGCAGATCAGTAAATCTTCCAGCCACTGATATCAAAAGCTAGCAACAAATCTAAGGGTTTTGCAGAAATTTTGGTCTCCTGCTCACAGATGATGATTGATTACACCTTTATCTAATATTCAGACTTGTAAGATAAATCTACAGATTTAAGGAAATTAATATTTCAGGGGAATAGATATCCTGCCACAAGCTTCCCATTGGCTTCACTCCAAAAGAGAAACTGAAACAGACAGCAAGATTATCAGGCACATAATTTTAAAAGTCTCCTTTTGGGAGGAAATATTTTGTTACAGTCAAAGTTTTCCCTAATGAAAACTAAAACTTTTAGGAGATGTTTGATTTGTTTTGTTTTCCCATTTCCTCTTACTAGTTTTCCTTCTCATTTCAAGCTTTAAGGAAAGTCATCACTTTTCTCATGTAGGGAAGAATCCCCATAGTAACTAAATAAGATAAATATGCTAAGTGTAACATTTGGGATGCATTTGGGATCCTGTTTCATCTTCATTATCTGCAGACAACCCTTTAGAGAAGTACAGTGGATTTATTTTACCCTAGCTAGAATATTTCTGTATGCTTCCTCCCTCTGTTTGTTTTATACAGCCCCAATTCCCCCTAAATATGCTTAAATGTCAGGCACATATGATACAATCCAGCACGCTTGGGGAATGTAACTGATTAAAGTCATCAGAAACTCTGAGATTTTTGAATTAATGAAGTTACAGAAATGCAAAGCAGTGGTACCAGCTTTCTGTAACATTTGTAGAGACCTTAACTTACACTCAGTAAACAACCTTCACCAAACTTCTGCGTTTCACTGGTTTGGTAGGTTCTTTGGTGTTTTTTTTTTCAATATATGTTTCCAAGGATGCGATGGTTAGGCTGAAGAATGGGGAAAAAAAATTAACAAAAAGAGATGCTCTAGTTAAGATACATGTCAAAACAGACAGTTTTAAAAAAATAAATAAACAAAAATAAAAGGTTTGCTAAGTAAGATGTTATCATTTTCATTCATCGGTGTTTCTCTGTCAACACCGGAATTTAATGTTTATCAGGTAAAAAATAAACAAAATTACCCCAAATATAGTTTTTCTTTTTATGTGATGCCAGTAAGAATTATTTTTATGTTAATGTTTAAGGAAAGTTTGATCAGTGACAGTATCAAACACTCTTCTTCCTTTACAAAATATCAGAGCTTCCCTATCATCAGGAAGAGTGCAATATGGAAACAGTGTTACTGACATGAAGAAAGCATGGAGATGAGCTCTTTGCTTCTCATGGTTCCCTACTGTCCAAGTCCAGTCATTGCCCAAGCTCTGCAACACTCCTTAAAAACTCATTTCTTGGAAACAGATTTTCTGCATATACCATAGAGCAGATGCACTAAGCTGAGAAACAAATGAGTCCAAATGATAAACTGCAAGACTGAGTTTTCTGTGCCCGGTCCCTTACCCATCTTCTACTTCCTCTGAAACAGCTTGAGTCACACAGAACAGCTGTGGTGCCAGTTGCTCTCCAAAAATGATTCATTGGGCAGGCTTTGAAAGACAGGCTGGTTTGAACTTCTTTAAAAAAAAAACAAAAAAATTAATCTGTGCTGAATTTCACTCTAACACTGCTTCGCTTCAACTACTTATGTACACTGCTGCGTATGTGAGAGCTGATGAGAGTTGATTTATTTAAGCAGACCAGGGAAGAGGCAAACAGTTTGATCACACAATGGGGAACTTCAGGAGATGCTGCTACCTTAAATTCACTATTTCCCTATGTAGGTGGCATGACAGAACATTCCTGATTATAGAATCACATATCTGTTCTACCCAGACACTTACAGATAAAAGATACATGGTACAAATACTGGTAAGCCATCAAACGTTCTGGAAGGAGTGGTTGAGCTACAGTCACCTGATTTTATGGACAGATAGCCTCCTTACGCAGTCTTCTAACACCTTTAACATCTGTGAAGACCATAGCGGGTTCTCCTCAAGCAGACTCTGCACTTCTAAATTGTCCCACTTACTTCCTTGTGCCTGGTTTTAATATAACAATTCTTTACAAGGATCAGCATCTGTGCTATAGTAGAAATAAAATTTGAACCTGCTTGCTTGAAGATTTAGGGGATAGTACATGTGTGTTATATTATTAACTTGAATACTTTGTAAATGGCACATATTTTGCCTTCACAGTATTAGAAATGCTGTTCAAGGAGACTAGGTCAGATTGACCATGCTTGAAATCCTTATTTGTATACATAGTGGTATCCTAAAAATGTGTTATAAGTTGCTGAAAAAGAGACAATATGTTTTTAATGACTGGGGAAATGTTTACAGACACATGAACTATCTGAATAAAAATTACCATCGCAAAGCATCAGAAACTCCCAAAGTCACAGTGCTTGATCATCTTAGCTGAATCATACTCATTTACTGGATTCATAGTTGATGTGGGGATTCACTGAGACCTATACTAAAAACATTCTCTCCTGTAGTTTACTGATGTTTAATACAGGATTTAATGGAAAACAGAAATTTTAACCTTCTTTTTATCACTTAGCTTCAAGCTCCTGTTTTATGATGAGGCTGGGATGGAACCCAGACTGATGAAGAGCTTTTAGCAGCATCAGCAGGGCTCTTGTACACAGCTTGCTGCCAGCCTGAAGCACGGAGGTGTTGGTATAAGAAGTGTTGCCTGCTGAATGACAATTGGAATTTCTTTCTGCATCTATGCAACAAGCAATGCCATAAGCTACTTGCATCCTCTTGGATACCATGGCATTTTTTTGTGAAATTTAGGTCAGAACCCAGTACAGTTCTGTTTAAATCACAGGAAAGACTTAGTGATATGTTAATACGGTCCTTAAAAAGTAGGCTGTCCTGGGTATGCCTGATCTCGTATTCACACACAAAGAAATCCAATAATGTGAAACCATGATAACTGAGGGAAAGCCTATAGGTTTTCTCGCCACTTTAGGTTATATCTAGCACAAAGAAATAGCCATTTACTTTTCGGAAGGGAGGATACTGTAAGCTGAACACATTTCTTCATTATCTAGCTTGTTTTTACACTTAAATATCTTAACAGAAACTAAAGGGTGCTTGAATACACAGATCTAGGCATTCAAACAAATTCATCCAGCTAGGAGTTGTTTGGCTTTAGTGCTGCCTTTATGAGGCTCCAACCAAAAGCAGGCTCTGTAGGGCTGGACTCTGTACAAAGAAAGGGAAAGTCTCCAACAGAAAAAGTTGGAAAAAAAATATATATAATTCCCATTTTACTGTATTACCACAAGCTCACTGCCCACTGGAGGAGCTTAATTTACACAGCACACATCTGTCTACTGATTCCAGACAAAAGCCAGTGGCTGATAACCCTGGGGCTGTGGGCAAATGAATTGCTTACCCATCTCTTTGTACAGCTTGCCAAAGCAACAGCAACAACTTAGGTTCAACACCTGCAGCAAGTAATCCTAGCAAAGCAGTATCCAGTTCAAGTTTGATTTAGACAATAAAACAGGAGTAAGAACGTTTTCAGACCCAGGACTGATTTTGTCTGAACTCTACTCTACTCTTACGAGGCTTTAACAATTTCTCCTTTGTATTCCAATTTCTGATACTCAAATAAGTTGGAAAAACTGTGTGTCAATATCTTATGTAGCAGGATGAGATGAGGATGTTTAAACTGAACTTCTTTTAATCATTTTCTGTGTATTTCTCTTAATTGGCTGGGTTTCTTTTTTTCTGGCTTTGTTCTGCAACACTGATTCATTCGCTTCCTGAAGTTTCACTTCACCTTGTCTGTTTTTTCCGTCTGCAGCACATTGTTGTACGCATTTGGTGATGAGAATTAGCTCAAAATAATCTGTACCATAATTACTGACTTCAGACTTGTTTATATCTATAGGGAGATGTCCATGACAAAACAAAATAACAACAAAGAGGAAAAACTATCATGTTCTTCCATATTTGGGCAGCCCAGATGTTATTTACAGCATTGTTTATGAAGCTTTTTTCTTTGCCTTGCTGGCTTTGATCCACACACGTTGTCAGTTTTGAGCACACACGTCCTGTCACATGGCGACTGTGTGCCCCTGACAAGTAAACATGTGGGAATGCAATTTATAAAGACAGGCTAGAGCAGCAATTAAGGAGAAAAAGAACTACAAACAAGACAAAGGAAATTATGCAGGAAGATGAGCTAAATCTGGTCAGAATACAGGATATCAAGGCAACTGCGCTGCATGTCATTTATGCTTTAGTCACTAGTAAGTGTCAACATTAGTACGTGATGTTTGCGCTCATGAAACTTTTATTGTTAGTCTGCAAGAGTATTGCTCAGAGGGACTTGTTGCTGCAGAACCCTCCCTGTGTGTGATCTCCAAGGGGTGATGCAGTTCATCATCGTGTTTGGCACTTATTCAGAGCGATGGAGTTCTTCAAGCACATTTGGCACAGTGAACAAACAGAAGATTGTAAAATCTCTTTTTCCTATGAAGTTGAAGAGGGATTAGCTTCCAGTAAGATTCCATAGGATATATAGGATGAGGGAAATATCTGACATGTAAAACATTTTCTTGCTGAAGTAGTGCCACAAAACAAACAAACAATCAAAAAAACCCAAAATATTCAACAAATTTTCCAGGCAATAAAATTCAGTCACGCAAATATTTTGGTGACAGCAGTGAAAGGTTATGTACCAGAACCCATAGGGCCTGGGAAGGGAATGCAGGCTATTGCTTATTTCCCCATTAATGAACAAACAAACTCCAAGCAAATGCTGGGATTTAGCAAATTCATTTTAAGATACTGAGTATCTTAAGAAGCTGATTAGCTGAGTCTTGGGACTGTTTCATGAAGGGTCCTCTGCTCTGGAAAAGTGGGCTTTAACAAAAGAGCCATGATGTCAGCTGGGAGAATTGGTCGCTCATTATCCCTGTGTCTGGTAGAACAGTATTCTGGTAAAAATCTCTATTTCAGCTTTAGCTGTCCAAGTCTATAGCTCAGAGCACACTGTAGGAGGAAATTCGCTTAGCTCTTTAACTGCTCTTCTCTTTTCAACCATCTGCTGTCTACTCCTTCTGTTAATCACTGTCCTAACTGTTACTGTCCTCACAAGACAGAACCTTGATTTTTCAATCCTTCTTCAACAAACCTCCACATAACATATGGGATGGCACTTTACTACTAATCTCACTTACGAAGGGAAAGGCTTGACCTGACTCACATGGATGCACAGCTCCAACCCTGCAGCTGTTTGTCACCTTGTCTTGAAACAAATACTTGCCTCATGCTCAAATCTTTACTGTAAAAGCACTTACACTTTCTGTAATAGCATCATGGTTGCTAGATCTATGCTATCCATATCATTGCTATGCTATGTATAATCATGAGCAGGTCACTTTCCTCCTCCTGCTGGCAACATTATTTCTTATCCAAGTCAGGATGCCATCAACCTTCTTGGTTACATGGGCACACTGCTGACTCATGTTCAGCTGAGCACTGGCCAACACCCCCAGGTCCATTTCTTCCACACAGTCTTGCAGCTACTCTTCCCCAAACCTGCAGTGTTGCCTGGAGTTGTGGTCAAAATGCAGGTTCCGGCACCTGATCGTGTTGAACTTCATCCCACTGGCCTCAGCCCAGCAATCCGGCCTGTCCAGATCCCTCTGAAGGACCTTCTTATCCCCAGACATATCGACACTTCCTCCTAACTTGATGCCATCTGCAAACTTACTGAGGATGCACTCAATCCCCTCAGGTCATCAGTAATAATATTAAACAGGACAGGCCCCAATACCAACCTCTGGGGAACACCACTCATGACCATTCTGCAAACAAGAAGTATGAATTCCAAGCCTCATCAACTCACCAAAAATGTCATTTGCAGGATGAGCTAGAAACTAAGTGGATGCAACAGATGATAATGATGAAGGAACTCCAGGTACGTAGAACCAGTGGGACACAAAAAGAAGAACTTTAATTGTGTTTTCCTAGCAAATACTGAATGGAATTTGTGGTAGATTGAAGAGATTTCTTGTTTGTTGCTAATATTCCTGCCTACGTACAGAATTAAAGAGGATAGCTAAACCAGCAATGCAAAGTACAGTTTAGTCATGTTGGGGCAGTAGGTAAAGTTATATTCAGCAAGAAAGCAGCAAACATATGAGATTGCCATGACATTAGACAACCCACCCATTTTCTCACCAGCAAAGCAGAGAGGATTTCACACTCTTTACAGCTTTCTCTCTAGTTAGTGACAAGAACTGCAGATTTGAAGAACTGGTTTGAAACTTAAAGCAGAACTACCTTATGCTCATTTTCAGCTTATGTATGATCAACAGCAGAATTACCTTGAGGATGAGGTAGGCTTTTCCTCCCCAGCTATAGTGATGTCTTTGGAGCAAGCCTCTCTCAAAATGACACCAGCACACTTTGGTCCAGATCGGGAGGGCTGTGGTAAAGGCAAGACGAAACCTGAAGTCATGGCAGTTTTATTGCCTCAGGCAAGTCCAGAACTAAGTCTGAGCTCTCAAAAGAGCTGAAATTAGGCCCGAGAGACTTAAGAACCAGAAAACTGTAAAGATATCATGTGACATACAGATTCTGTGCTGCTAAAATGCTACAGAATATATATGATTATTTAATTCCATCAAAATTTTCACATTCCCCAGCACCTTCTATCCTATATCTTATCATCTATTCCATTTAAAACAGGAAAAACACCAACAAACCAGCTAATGAGAACATTGCCAGCAAAATTTTCCCACCATCTTTCAGAAGAATATTTAACGTTAATACTCCTATCCACATACAAAAAAAATACACTAGGAATAGTTTTTATAAGAGAAAATAATCTGACTGGAAATCCTTCCTTTATTTTAAAAATGATGGCTTCATTTGTTCATTGTTTCTTCTGTTGATTTTTACTAAGCAAAATGGTAAGTCTTCTCCCATTAGAGGAGACTTCTGTGGTCAGGAGACTTAGGCCAGAGCTCAAGATGTAACCCAGGGCTTCTCTCCTTGGCAAACCATGCTGCCTACTTCAGTGAAGATTCTTGTAATTATTTCTTCTGGATTTGGAGACCAAAGTAACACAGCCTTTTATTGATAGGCCAGCCTATATTCAGATGGCCTAAATTCCAACTAAGATCCTAGTGCCTGCTTTGCAGGGAGAATGTACCACAACTGGAAGGGATCATGGGGAAAACAATGTTTAGAAGGGATCTGGTCAAACATACAGAACTCTCTCGGACAAAGATAGATGCCAGTTACTGCTGTGGGAGTTTTTATTCAGATGGAAAATCAAGGCAGAATGATTATTCTTTTATTTCCCATTTATATAATTCACTTCTTATATATTCACTTCACATATATATGTTTTGTTGTGTTTTTTTTTTGACATTTCTTACTTTTTTTATATGCTTGTGAGCTAGGGTGGAGCAGATGTCCAGAACAACAATCAGCATCAACAGGGTTTCTCATTTAATAGTTCAATAATTTAATAGATTTAACATTTGACAATTGTTAAATCACTAAGTGTAGAGAAATCATCATTACAGATTTATTATTCTAAACTACTGAATTATTTTTTTCAGTGGTTTGAGAGGAGAACTCCAAAAATCCATGAAACTTGATTGCAATAGGATACACACTAAAACCAACGCTATAAGTATACTGAATGCAGTATGCTTCTGCATAGAAAAATAATGTAAAAGAGCCACAGAACTAATGACTTAATTATTGCCACAGTGACACAAAAGCATCACACAAACAAGTTTTCTCCCCATAAGGCTAAGCTGTCTTTCAGTTTCCTATGCAGGGCACCATTTTTCTCTTAGGAGTTTTATACATATATTTTTACAGATTTGCAACAGGTAATTGCCTCCTGGCAAATGCTATTGTGCCCAAGGTGCGTTCCATTAGACTGTAGATTCCTGAATCCTTTATCCAAATGTACTTTTGTTTTTAGTAGGCTTTTCAGGAAGAATGAGTTTGTATATTCCAGAAAAGAAGCTTTGGGATGCATTTACAGCAGTGGGTCTGGAAAAAGGAAGAATGCTAAAGAGGTCTGATAGCTCTGCTACCACCAAAGAAGAGCACATGGCCTTACAAATCTTTTGAAAAAGAGCGTCATTGAAAATACGAGACTGGATAGATCTTTTGATCAGACTCTACAGCTGCTGGATGAGAAATGCATTTCTGTTAGCAAGAGCATCCAGGACATGCAGAAGGGGCACAGGCGTTTGTTAACAGCAGAGCAGGGAGGCTGGCTGCTCACCTCATCAAGTGACAGGGGAAGGGAGAGCGAAACTTCCTGCAATAACTCTCAAAAAGGAGTAAATATCACAATTTACACTTTAATTTACATTCCACGTCCCTAAAATACCCAACAGTCAGAAAAACCAACATTTCAAAAAAGCAGATCTTGTTCTTGCCTGAATCCCCATACAATGCCATAGGCATCACTTCTTCTCTTCTACGACCCATTTGCATCTCCGAGAACTAAGCCTTGAGTATAAATTGCTCAGATTTTTCCAGACAAATATTGCTTAACTGGAGCCAGCCATTACAGCTTCCTCCTTGCTGTACAGAACATAGGAATGAGATCAAGCAAACATGGTTAAAAGCATGACTGCTCAAACACAAGATCCAGGAGCATATTTAACTAATATGTAGCTGGAAAGTTGTTGCCAAGGATTTAATATGATTCAGCATGTTGCTGGTTTTCCTGGTAAACACCCTCCTTAAACAATGAGGTGGTTTAAAAGGGATTTTTGTTCCTCAGCATTTGGACTCAAAGAGAAAGTGCCAGGAATTGCAGCAAATTACTCATTCCATTGATTTGGGGAAATACATTCATTCATTTCTTCACAGCTTACCTGATGTATTTCACATTTTAAAGCTGATCACCTAAAACAGCAAAGCAAGGTGCTTCATGTGCCTTCCAAATCGTTTTCTGTTGATAGGATGTTAATCAGAGATACCTGAATACCAAAAGGCCCAGTGGTTCAATTAGGTTAAGATCCCTTCTCCAAAGATCAAATGCTTATCCATTCCTGAGCCACATAACCTCCACTGCTTAGGCCTATAAGCATTGTAGCCTTAGGATCAGAAAACAAATGAAAGCTAACATGGAAACAGTCAAAGGGGGAGAGTAAATCAATTATTACTACATCTCTAATACAAGGCTTCAGTCTTTCCTGAAGTCTGGGTTTTCCCTCATTTCCTCTGGGGAATTTTGACAGCAGGATGACGGATAACTTGGCTTAAAGATGCTTTTCCTGTACTGACGCCAATGCTTACAATCACAGAGGATTCAAGATCACAGAGCATTCCGGTTTGAAGAACAATGATCTCCAGGTACCAAGAAATGGAGTACATTCAGCAGGCCACATTCACCTGTATGCTTGGGATGCTATGCACTGTCCTGGTGACACAAAGCTGTCGTTAACCCAAACTACATGTGGAGCACCGTAAAGCAGCCAGAACAGACTGATCCACAGTCCCCAACATTATCTGTCACACAAGAAGTCCCCAGAGAGCAGTTCATTTATACAACTCTGGTTCTTAGTGAAACACTGCCCAATATCATAGCTTTTATTATTGAAATCACAGAAATCCATACAAAATGGAGCATCCTCGTGCCAGGCTATTCAGTTGATCCAGCTGTTGTGAAATTCCCCAGAGGAAATGAGGGAAAACTCGGAATGTAAAAACAGAAATATATAAAATAAAAACTCCCTGCTATATAAGATAGGCTGCAACAGTGTGAGGACCACTTTGCATTACCAGGCCAAGAGAAGGCTGCAGAAGCTGGCGCAGAATCAAAGCCAGAGATTGCTACTTCCTGGCTGCTGGTTCAGGCAAAAGTCACTGTGGGGGTGAGCAGAGCAGTCAGAGCAGGCACAATGGCTTCTCTATCAGCACTGGAGATCTCTGCCACTAGCTGGGCTAGGTCAGGAGAGAGCCTTGCAAATGTGCTACCTATTCTCTAGAGAGTCTTGTGGTCCAGGCTCTAATCCAGTCTACTACTGTCTGCCAAAGAGACTTCCCTAGATTATTTTAGGTACTGGAAGAGATTACACGCACACAGATCCCTGCTTTTAACCCTCTAAACCAAGCCATGCAGCTCAGTGCTGGAGCTCTTCAGCTCTGTGCTATCAAATAAAACTGGAAGTGTTCTCAGGCAACAGATACTCTGCAAAATGGTTTGAGAGGCTTCTACTATGGTATTGGCTCTGTCAAACAGTCCATGTACACAGCCGGAATATTAGCAGGCTCAGAGAGCAGAGCTGATGGGCAGTCTCCATGCAGTTCCCTGTCTTGGATGTGGGCCTCACTGCACCGGTGTCCTCCCTGGCAGCAGAACAGGCCATGCTCAGTTTGTTCCTAACAGTGTACCCTCTGGCACTGCTTGAGCTGCACTGGGCACACAAGAGAGTTCGTTATTCTGGTTTTAAAGATAACTCTGCCTGCAGGAAGGAAGTGATTTTCTTTTTAGCTTAGAATCATTTTTAGCAGAAGATTTAAACATGGAGTGATGGGTTACTTAAGGCATATACTTGTATAATAATGGAATAAATTCACGAAAACTAAAAACCAACTGACATTATTAAGGCTAAACCTAACAGTAGTTGTCCTCATATCTTTTGCAGCCACTTTGATTGCTTGCAAGGAGGCCACCACTACCCTCAGGTAGTCTGTGAGCATCCTTTCTTGCCTTCACTGCTCAGGATGGCTCATAAAGTCACTCATGGCAGTCACCTACAGCGTTTCTTTTGCACTGTGCTTGGTAATGACCTACTTCTTCTCCCATCCTGTTTACCTGCATCGTTCCCTGTGATTGGATGCTGAGACACTGCTCAGCTACGTGGGGAATTAAGTCATTTCCTCTTTTCATCCCTTCAGTCTCTGAAGTCATTTCCTTCCTCCCACCCACCAAACGTTTCTCGGCAGTTCTGTAGTATATTCTAAGTATCATTTTCTTGACCTTAGATTATTTTCCCTTCTTATAGCCAAATAAAGGCATTTTAGTAAAATACTACACATCAAATGATGAGAAACACGACTCCTGTAAGAATGCAATGTAATTAAAAAATATATCATTTTCCTGAGACTAGCATATAAAGAGAAAATACAACATAACAGCAAGTATTTGCATTACTAGTATACCCCTCCCCTCTATACCACTGTTTGGAAAGGTGACAAGGGTGAGGAGATCTGGATGGTTAAATAATCTTAACCAGTTGGACTTGATGATCTTGAAAGTCTTTTCCAACAGTTATAGTGGAAAGCTAGCCACCTAGGATTTTTAAAAACCCTGTCTTGTCTAAAATCACACATGAGAAATAGCATCAATGTACCAAAACTTCTCTTTTTCTCTGTGGTAGGAGTCAATCAACCAAGGACAATAAAATGAATGAACATACCTTATCTGCTGCCAGGAAGCTTGTCCTGCAGAGTAGATTTCCAATGGGAGAAAATTTCAGAGCTAGGAACCTTGGGGTCAAGCATTTCTGGCACTCATGTTTGTCCCTAATGGCACATAAGAAGAGATTTCTATTTGATGCTGTCTCAACAGACTGCAGGTAAGTCATAATGATCTATTCTCTTGAGAGATCCCACAGCACTGAGGGACCCTTCAACTATGACCAGCTGCAACCAGAGACAATCAGGTGCAGATCAGGTGTACTGGGATCACAACAGACTGTTTCAGGCACTGTGTTCTTCCATGACTGCATCTTCCAATGAAATTTCAATTTTGGGATATACTGGAAGAATTAGACATACAGTGAGATACATAGACAGTGGCTGTTGTAAAAGATACTCCTGCAAATACATCTTTCTGCTGATTGACTTCATTTGGGAATTTAAAAATTCCACTTAATACAAAAATACATAGATGGAACTAATTCAAACCACAAGAAAATAAAGGAAAGAAATAAAATCAAATCAATAAATCAAGACCACAACTTTCTCAAAAAGACATGTTCTAATTCAGCCACAGGTTATGAGAATTGATGCAGGAGTTACTGAATGTAATTCTATAGTCTTTGATTGCTCATATGAAACAGTCTTGATAGCCACCTTCTTTGTGCACATGAAGAATGTGAATTACGAATTGTGCACATGCAGTTACATGAACAATGGCAATGTCTCTTCTTGACCTACAGTGATAGCTGATTATGGATTACATTTGTGGTGCCAGCAGCAAAAGAGCTGAGGTACCCACAGGTGGAGATAGGGGAATCCCAAATGATGAAGCAACTTCTCAAGCCACAGCTGGAATCTATCACCCAAGAATCACACTCCACAAATGTATTTGCATTTCCAATTAAACCGTTTCTTTGGAGTGCTCTAGAATACATTCTTAAACTTATCTGAAACAATATGACATACACTTTCTTATTAAAATTCAGATTATGATGTTAAAAAGGGATGTTAAAGGAAAAGGGTGAGGTGTGATTTCCTCATTTCGCTTTGTAACTCTTTCATTAACATTATTGTATTTATCTCTTTCACTTGATCCCTGTTTGTTCCAGGGGACAGATTGGAAATCTTAGTAAAATGTTCTTTCATTACTACACTTTAAAAACAGCAAAAGATCTTTAAGATTTATGCCCCTTCTTTCCGATCAATGGCAAACAAATATGAAGTCCAAAGAAAAACCCATCTTTCTTTCAGCAGACAACATGAATTTTCATGTGAATATGCATTTTGCGTATCTTCACAGCTTTGCAGTCATCAAAGATAATAGCAGTTTTTAATTATTCTAACGAAAGCAGTGTGGAGAAAACATTATATGCTTTTTGAACTACCACAGCAGAATTCAATAGAAGTTGAAAATATATTTTCTATTCAGATATGAGTACTTCGCTAAGAAAACAAAGTCATCCCCTTGTCTAATCCACAATAACTGCCTGTAATTCAAAACAATGATTCAACATTGGGTATGTGAAGTTGTGAACATTTTAATTATTTTTTCTCCACAAAACTTTTGGCACATCTGCCTCAGCAACTTTTTGTACACAGCAAACGTTTAAGCAAGTTTTTCAAAAGAGAAAAGAAAATGAGTTTTTTCAATCCATGCTTGAGTGCTTGAAGTTTAAAAGCTATCAACTAAAAGGCTTTCAATTGCAAGCACAGTTTGATTTCTCACATGAAATCTTCCAGAGCTCTGAGTGCAGAGGCATTGTAAGACGGAAGGTCCAAACGTACTGGTAGTGTCTAAATACATGCAAGGTGTAAGATGAAAAGGAAAGGTCCAAAGTTGTTAAATAGGTGACAGCAATACTAGAAGAAGAAAACACTGAATAGAAAAGAAGCTAATTCTAATTCTAAAACTAATAAGCAAAGCTCAGCAGACATACAGTAACTCCTGACTTCCTTGTTCCTGATTATTAAAGTGCTGTGCAGCTTTATGAAGTAAAGCTTGCAGGACAATGAGTTATTTTTAAACAGTCTTCAGAAAGTTCAGGGATGAATGTTAAAACATAAATGTATGGATTGATTTGCTACTCTGGCTACAAATGTTAGACACTGCAGCACCGTTTTCTAAGTGGAGTTCCAAACTCAAGTGATGTTGCAATACTAGATTGCAACAGATTAAATAAATTAAATAAATAGATTAAATTAATTCAAAAATAAATAATAGGTAATTAAATAAATAGGTTTTAAAAAGCATTTCAAAATGCGTCACAATATCCTCTACTCTACAAGCCGATTTTTGAGCACCAAAGAGAATGTTAAGGATGACAGTTATTTTTTCTCTTCTTGTCAACTTATATTAGTCCTGGAAAAAACAACAACAACATATATTTCTCTGAAATAATCCAGTGAAAATTTAAATGTAAAAATGGAATAGTGGGAATTCAGTGCTTGGAAAAACAATGGCATAAGAACAATTGCAATCTCACAACTCAGCACTTGGGAAAACAGTTTTTGCATTCTTACTAGAAACTTTAGATTTATTTTAATCCTTCAAATACTTGAAACAAAAGCTTTCACTGTGAAAGATCTCCCTTCCTTTTCCAGATTTTTTTCATACATTTGTCTATTTATCCTTCTAAACAACTAGATTACATTAAAAATATTTCATTAGAATTCTGTTTTAAAATAACGTGATCTGGTAATTGTGGGAGGAAAGATGACCTCAGAAAGACTTGTGTTAATTTTCGTTCACACTGGTTGTCAATTTTCCTCTTCACTCTTCTTTTTGAACATTTACGGTAAGTATTTGATATTTTTTTTAAGGAATCAGAAGTTTTTAAAAGGGAATGAAGGATTGTTTCCACCTGGCTCAAGTTCAGTATGAGGAACCTTCATTTGTTTCTTGTAAGTATGGATTTTCCACTTAAACCTATTCAGACTCTGGACATAACAACACTGTGTCAGCAGCTTTGCAACAAATCACATGTTTTCTCTATGAGATCTAGTGATGGAAAATCTGGAAAGCAATATTTCATGTCTCTAAGTCGCTTGTTTATTCTCCCAAATACTCAGTTATTTAGCCTCATAGTAATTACCCATTTCTAATTTGAGGAGCATTCATCCAGGAGGTAAAACATAGAGCTGTAATGAATTATTTGTTTCTTTTATGGAGAGCAAATGTGTTACTAAGCAAAGAGTAATCTGCATGCGCTTTTTAAAAACAAAGAAAAGAAGAAAGTGCCAGAGGAATGAGGAATGCAGACTTTTTGCTTCTTGTTTGTTATTGGATTTCCTTTTTTGGGGACTCCATTTCAGCCACTGGCAGTACTACCAGCAGAGCCCGCTATGAGACCATTCATATTTGGAGAAGAAAGGTGGTCGTTCACAGCCAGGTTTCTTACATTTCACTCTTTCCATAGACTGTGGGGACTAGAGTCCACAGAGTGCCACTATCCACCAGGCCAGGATTCCACCTAACCGCAGAAGAGGAGGCACCGACATTCACCCAGCCAATGTCACCCTGAGCAGACCAGCCACCATCTCAGAGATAGCACCAAGTCCATCCAAGCTCATCCCTCCTGACCCTTTGCAATGCCATTTGCCTATATACATAGTTAATTAAACATCCCAGCTGGTCAGGGAGACGAGGCGTCAGACAGGCGTGATGTATTCATCAGCAAAGGGACAAGGAGTATTTAGGTTGATTGTTAGGCAACAATACTACGTGCTGTGGGCAAGAAGGACACAATGCCAGCTCTGGGAATTTCACAACACTTGCTTTTTTTCGAGACTTTGTAATTGAGGCTTGCGGGGTTAATAAACAACAACTACCACCAAAAGTAGCTATTACGACAGGACAGAAGAAAAGGACAAGAAGAACATTTTGGACCGCTTTCGGTTGTTATTCTGTTAATAATCCAGTAAGAAAGTGAGAGGTCTTTTGTGTCTTTTTTAGTTCAACAGCACGCCTGTAAATAAATCCCAGAGGGGACAAGTTTTTGAAGGCCAAGATGAAAGCGAGGGCTAAGGCAGGCAGGGGAAAAGGTGGTTTTGGCTCAACCCAAGCAGTTGTATTTTGCATGCCTAAAACCAAAACCACACTTGGTCTTTCACATGAGGTCTTGCTGCATTAGGAGCAATGATGTGTGGGACATGGCTGTGCATGGCCCACTGCAGCACAGTGCAAGCAGGAGAGAATAAAGATATGCTCAGCATCAGATCTGAAGCTATTCTCAGTCAGCAAAGAGAAGGAATAGGACAGCAGGGCTGCTCCCCCTGCTCCTGGTGTGTAGAACAATAATGCAGGTAACAGCTGAGTTTGGAGGGCATTACTGTGGTCTGCAGCTGTGGACCCCATCTCCTTGCTAAGGATGCTCTGTGCTACTTCAGGAGATTTATCTCAAAGGTCATCAGGCAATTAATTACCTGCACATGGAGTCCTGGAATGAGCCATTTGCCTTATCTCTAGACTGGAGAAAAAACAAGAGAAAGTCTCCCATGCTCACTGCTGCAGAAACTTCAGCAATAAACACATGCTGAGACAAACCTACCTTAACCAGGCTCACACACTCACAAATAACAGCCTAGGATGTGGTTGCTTAATATCCCAAATGAATAGCTAAATGCATCATGAGGTAATATAGAGTACATAGACAGTGCCTGTGCAGCAAGGTAAAAATAGGTCTTGTGTATTCAAAAACAGGTCAGACACAAAGCAGTGCAAGAGAAAAGGTCTGTAGAAGTGCGTGTGACACATGTTGGAGGCTCTGCCCTGTGACCGCTCTCACTGTCACCAAATGAAGTACAGCACAGCTAAAATGGGACATGCAAATACTAAGGAATTGGGAAATTAGATATGAATGTTCAAGACGCCAAATGTAAAAATGAAAGCAGTGCAGAATTTAGGTATGGCCCCATGCTCCTAACGAATTTAGATAACGCTGAAAGTCCAGCCAGGCCAGGCTTTGCATAGGTGAAATATTTCTCACTGCTATGCATAAAGCACAAATCACAGTCAGGCTGTAAAAATACACTTTTCTGTATCAAAAAACAAGTCATGGCCACAGGAGGGATCCGCATGCTGAAGTTTATTCTGCAGAAGTCAATTGCTGAAATTAAAACAAGTTTTTTGGGCCACTTATGGTGTCAAATGCTTTCTCCACATAAAATGTTTGTTCTTGCTGGGTTTAATGAAAGCTGCTGTGAAATGGGTATCATGGCACAACTTGAGAGAGCTTCAAAACAGGTGGTAGGAATGAAAGAAGGAGGAATAGGAGTTGTTCAAAGGAAGGTAACTCCTGCACTTTCGTTAGCATGCCTGGTTCACAGCTCTTGAATGATGGAGACAGCAAGGATGGCAGCTGTACTTTGTTTTCTAAGGTAAACTGCTGTGTTGATCTAAATCAAACATAAGAATAGTACAGATATTATACAACTTTAATACGCT